CAGCAGCATCCAAAATCTTATCTGCAATTTGCAGGATGAACCATATTTCAATATGTAGCCTTGGCAATGTGGAGAATTTTTCGAATATGCATTCAAACGAACGGCTAGATTTAAATGTTTTAGATCAAACCATCATATATGACGGTATACTGAATCTCAAAACGCAATGTATGGCAGAATTTTCGATGTAAAGAATGTATGAATTTGAACTTACTGATGGCATCAAGTGAAGCCAAGAGGACCTGTCCCGGAACCAAGGCGAAGAATGCCTTCCCTGCTTTGGAGTTAACTACTGGCCCCATCACCGATCCGGTCGCAATACCAACCCCATCAAGCATAGCTTTGCTGAGCTTTGATGTCATCTTTGACAAATTTTTCACACTGAATCATGGCAATACAAAAGATCCATTCACTTGAGAACTTTTCAATACACGCTCACAAAATAATGTAAAGAAAATGTGTCTAACCGTTTTATGTTCTTGTTGATTCCACTCTTCTTTTTTGCAGCAGATTTGCTGCTACTGCTTCCTTGTTCCTTGACATAACTTTTCCCCTCCACGGGACGAGCCAATGTCGCTTCCCCTCCTTTTTGGACCTGTTTTCTTCTCCCATCATGCAAATTATTGTTAGATGTTTAAGCTGAAACTGATCATTTGAACAAAAAAAAAAAAAAAAGTTTTAAGTTGTCACAGAATAAGTTACCAATATATATCAAACTTATATCGTCCCAGACATATTACAGTACCGCAATTTGTAAAATCTTTGACCATTAAAACTTTGTAAATCGGGATATTAACTTTTGTTACATGTTGTACTGTTTTTAGGGTAAAAAGAAATGTTGGCTCGGCCAAGTTAACTAGGGCGTGTGTTTCCCATATGAAGCGAAGTTCGAAATCTTGGCACCCAATTTAAATAAATTGTGTGTAAAATACTAAAATTAAACCGCTTGTTTAAAATAAAAAGCCAAAAACAAACCTGATTGGTGTAAGCATTGCTACAAATGAAGATCCCCCTCACAATCTGACCAGTCCCTCCTGCAATCGCCTTGGCCAACACATTATTATAATCTTCAATCCTTGGAGCATACTCCTTCCAATCAACCCCCTTATTTTTATTATTCTTGGTCGATGTGGCACTAAAGCAAGAGTGCTCCATCAAAAATGAGTCCAGAAACGCCAACTGACTCTCACACTGATCGGGAAAAGTGACACCGTAGCTCAGCGGATCGCCGTCTTTCATGGGGAGGGAGAAGAGGTAGTTCAAAGCGTCGAGCTTCACGACCGGCTCGTCGTTTGTCAGCGGCCACTGAAGTTCTTCGCCAACTTTGATTATGGTGGCCAGAGTAACGTTGTTTTCCAAGATGTTTTCGAGGACGAAGTCGCCGCTTGCGAGCTCTAGGGTTTCTCCTTCGTCCATGAGGTTGACTCTGCATCCTGGGATTTGGAGGAAGACTTGCTGCTGGATGTTTTTGGGTTGTTGGTATTGCTCAGCAGGGTTTTGGGTTCCGTACTGCGGCGGAGGTGTGGTTTTGGGTTTGGAACTGCGTGAACGACTGAAGCAACCCATTTCTTTGTTTTGAAGGAAACTAAACTGTTTGTGGTTGTTTTGAGAGGGATTGGAGCAGCAAAGATGGTGACGAAAAAGGTAGCTGTGTTATAAGAGGAAAAGTTGTTGAAATAATTGATGCTTTGTTTGCATCTTTATGCTATTCGTCTGCGTCAGTGTAATTATCGTGTGGCTTTCGGTGGAGAATTTAGAGGGTGCCAACTGTCGATATGATGCGGAATAATCAGTAAAGTACAGACAAACCTTGCAGGTTTCAAAGAGGTTTGAGGTGTGAACTCAAGTGCTTTTGTTTCAGATTATCGACATAAGGATATTATTTGTGTAGGCAGATTGTCTGTCCTCCAGTTATTGCATCTTCTCTTATTTATGCGGTTATATTATATTAATTTTTTAATAAAAATAATAAAATAAAAAATAATAGGAATATAAAATGTTGACATGATTTAACTGTGATCGTACAAATAGAAAGGGATGAAACATGTACGGTAACAGGAGGACACACAATCTACCTCTATTATTTGTGTTTTCATGTCACTTGTGACTAATGTATTTTATTGTTGGATATTATTATCGAATAGTTTAATTTTTATTGTTTAGATATTATTACCGGATAGTTTATTCTATTTTTTATCATTAAAAAATTATTTTTGTAAAAAATTATTTAATTTATATATCTCGTTTAGTTATTCATGCATGTGAAACAATAAATAATTTTGATAACAAGTATTCTTTTTTATCACTAGTTAATCATTTGTTTGATACATGTAAATAGCTGAAATAATATTTTAAATTGAATAATTTTTTGTAGATATAATCTTCAAATTAAGATAAAAATTAAATGTGTTCGATTGTAATATTTGTAAGGTGAAATTAGGTTAACCATAAGTGGGGACCAAGTAGACTCCCTCCACATAGGAGAACACAAACATTATCCTATAGAGAATTAAGTTTACTATCACAATAGCATTCGTTTTAATAAAATAATTCATATCATTAGATTTGATGGGTACATATATTGGATCATGATATTTTACTTGCTACTTAGTCCTACAGCTTTAAATTTTAATAAAATAATTTAGATTATTAGTATAAAAATATTATTGTACTAAAGAAGAAATATAATATCTCACTCGCAACCGAAAGCCTTAATTGACTAATCTCCTACGTTGAATGTCAGTCACCCAATAATATTAAATTGAATGGTGAGCGAACTTCAAGAACTTCAAGTATTAAAGCAAAAGTCCAAACGCCCACTGTAGCAAAGCACATTCGTGTGTGAGGAGAAATTTTTAGGTGTGCCGGGAACACCATGCCACGTGGTGTTCCTTCACACATAAAAATTTAGTTTTATTTATTTATTGAAATAAAAAATTGAAGTATATTCAAAATGTCAAATTTTTATGTGTGAGGGAACACCACGTGGCATGGTGTTCCCGGCACACCTAAAAATTTCTCGTGTGTGAGAGATTCCAACAAACACGCACTGGTGTGTTGATATTCAACAGCCTGCACTTGCGAACTACGTTGCACGGACACTTCGAAACCTCGAAGTGACGGTGTCGACATTCTAACATGAATTTAAAAAAAAACACTAATCACAACTGCTTCATGCATGATTGGGATTGGCTGAAACGGATGAACAACCAACGCTTCACGATAGATGGAATTTGGCTACTATTGCATATATATAATGAGTTCCTTGCTCATAGAGAAGAAATTCTACGTTCAAAGATCTATCACCATTAGAATATAGAGGTCTTTAAGTGAGTAGAAGAATTCTTTTACAACTACTATAACTTCGACAGGTGAGTCCTGTACTCATATATATTAATATGTGATTTAGGATTCATGTTGAGTTTAATATTAGTTCCAACTTCCAACACATACTTCACAGACATGGTCAACAGTCTGAACACGATAAAGACACAGTAGAGAAATTCTTGTAAATATAAATAGCATTTTAGGGCAATTTTGTAAACCCAAAATTTGCCGATCTGGACAACAGTCAGGGCCTGTTTGGGATTGAGGTGCTTAAAAAAAAAGCTACTATGAAAAAAAACTATGAAAATTTTTGGTGTTTGGTAAACTTTGAAAATCAGCTTTTTTTCAAAGTTGAGGGTGAAAAAAAGCCCAAAACCAAGAGATGACAAGAAGCTACAATTTGCAGCTTCCAAAAGCAGCTTATTTTCACCCACACACGGGTGAACAGTGTCCAGGTTTAATGAAATATACCATAACCCAAAACTGCCCTCGGCTTTTCCCTTCACCGACGCTCTCGCCTTTCTCCAAAACTCTCTCGCACGCTCTTCACCTCAGAGCTCTCTCACATAACCCGAACCTCAGGCTCTCTCTTGTTCTCTCGTTCTCTCGTTCCGTCGTTCCGTCGTTCCAAAAACTACCGATCTCGTTCTCCAGGTTTCTCCAGGTAAGCTTCTCATTTATTTGTTTGGATTTTTCAAATTAGGGATGGGGAGATTAGGGAAAGAGGGGTGGGAAGAGCAAAGGGATGAGGGTATGGGTGTCGGGAAAAACAATTGGGGATGGAGGGTGGGGAAAAATTAATTGGGGAAGGGTGATATGGTTTGTGGAAAAAATTAATTGGGAAAAAATTAATTGGGGAAAAAATTAGGGTTTGTGGAGGAAACAAAAAAGGTCTGCTTCTGATTCTGATTTGGGTATATGTCAGGGCTAATTTGCTTTGAAGAAGGTCTGCTTCTGATTTGCTTTGAAGAAGGGCTAATTTGCTTTGAAGAAGGTCTGCTTCAGAGGGTTTATATTCTCCAAAATTCTGGTTTGTTTTCCTTGATATAATATAATAGCACAAGTTATAATAAATTTTATTATTACTCTCTTTGGTTTTTGCTGGAAAGCTGAATTTTTTTTACATGATGCCATTGTATTTTCCCTTTCACTAATAACTGAAACATTATTAGCCCTTTTTTTCTTTGGCGGAGATTGTAAGACATGTGTTAATTATTTGTGATATTTGATTTGTTTCTGTCCATTGTTCCATGATTGCTTGGTTTCTGGTTTTTCTCAGTGTGTTCTCATGCTGTCTGCATTATCTGGATTGCTTGATTTGTTTCTGTCCATTGTTCCATGATTTGTTTCTGTCCATTGTTCCATGATTGCTTGGTATGGTGAATTACTCATACCTCCATTAATATGTACAACACAATCAGAGATTGCACCAAAATACAGGATTGTCTTAATTCCCTACGAAACCATCACCACCCTCTATTTCTTAGACCTTCCCAAGTTCCTTCCTATTCTTTACTTCCCCTAATGAGCATTAGCAAGGGTATAATAACCCCCCCTGATCTTAATTAGTAAAGCTAACTACCAAAAAAAAGACCATCCAAAACTATATTTCGACTCCTTGGGGGGCTTCATTCTTTGCTATAATATTATACTCCACAACTTTTTGTTCCCCATTAACCAAAAACAGAGTGAGATGACATGGCCAGCAAGCACACAGCTGCTTGCTCCACCTCTCCCATCTCCCTCCTCCTCTTTTGGTACCTCCTTTTCTTCTGCACTGGTGGTGTGCCTTGCAGGCACACATCCTTCCCAAAAGCCACTAACTTCACCTGCAGTGACTCACTCAAGTCCGTGCGACCACCTCTGCCACCAATTTTGGCCTTTCTGGCAGTGGTGCTAGTGGTGGTGGTGGTGGCAGAAGCAGAAGCAGAAGCAGCAGTGTTTGTGGTGGCTGGGGTGGTGATAGTACTGGTGGTGCTGCTGCCATATGGTTTGTCCTTCTTCCACCTCTTTGGTCCCTTGCACAGACTCACAGTAGGAATTTTTAGTAATTCACAGCTGCAGATGCATCAAAATTAAGAAGTATGCCCGTCCCTTGTAGAACACCAGGGTCTTCCTCATTCCTATAATGTTGTCCTTTGAAAGCACTGCCTTGTCTCTTCCTGTTGCCTTCCAGAATCCAGCAGCTGTGGCTCTATTTGTCCGCGTTCCAGTCGGGTACTTCTTGTCTTTGTGACTGAAGAAGTACCACTCGTTCTGTTCACTGTAACCTAACCTGCATCTCGCTGTACCACACAATACATATACATAGTTCTCAGAATGACTGAATATGCTCATAATCTTATGAGATGTCAATAAAAACTCTTTTGTTTAGCCATTGATGAGTGATGACAGAGAGTAGCATTTGTGTTTATGTTGTTTCTATCTGTTTTGTTTTGATTTTGCTACCAACAAGCATCCGCGCATTTTTCCAATGTTGTTTTCTTTCTACACGTTGCCATATCCAAAATTTTTAAATATAAATATAGTATGAACACAAAAACGCCCTTAGGACCATATCTATTTATGCCATTTCGAAGTCAAGCTGCAAATGTTAAAATTAAGTTGGTTCTAAGTACGTTGTATGTCCCATGGTTCGATTTTGTATAGGTCAATGTCAACGATGACATCTAGGTCAATATGTAGTGAGTTGATCTTTCTTTTCAGGTAGTAACCCACAAGTTCTTCTTCTGTCGGGTGAAATCTGAAGCCTGGTGGAACACAAGATTCCATCTCCATTACTAATGTTCAGTATGTAGACGCACCTGCATATCAGGCAAGGAAGTATGAGGAAGAGTAATTATTATACTTTTGACCAGCTATATATGTGCATGAGTGTTTATAGAGAGAGTACTACCAATCTTGTTGTAGTCATGTATATTCATCCATCATGTGAAATAAAAAGAGTCATGTGATCCATTTTTTTCTCACAGACGTATTGCCTATGTAACAGTCATGGTTGTCATTCATAATCTTCTATATCTAACATTTTGTAGTCCCTTTCTTTATAACTTAGTTTCAATTTCTTAGGACTTATAAATTCCTTACTCAAACATATAGCCGCAAGCTTCTTGTAATTGGCGTAGGTCTAACATCAAAGAGAAGACAACCAAACAATTTACTCTTAATTTGGAGAGATACTGAAGAAGGAATTCTACAAGTTTTATAGAACCTATTCTATAGGAGCTAAATTGTTAGCTAGTAATGATGGCGATTTCACTTTGTGGGAGCTGTGAGTGGTCCTGCATGTGTTTTTAGCTAAATGACTGCGGAAAAAGAAATCATGACAGACTAGTAGTGGATTGGAAACCACCACACACTAACATTAAAACATAGGATTATCTTATAATTAAGCTCAAGTAATTTGTTTTCGTTAGTTGCATGGAGTAATTAGGCAAAAGTATATCGAACACAAAAGTTGGCCGAAAAGCTTGACTTTGCTGGCACAAGCATGTTATATTTCTTTGAGTGCAGTGCACTCCCTGCTTCCTACCTCCTGCTCGATCAATGTCTACTGGTAGTAACAGCGGTGCGAATTAAATTCCTTTAAGCATTTCATTTCATACCCAGGACATAGCTACACAATCAAAACTAATCAATTAAGACCAATCTAAGATTTTCATTAATTACCGTGAGATTGTCAATTCGATCTATATAGTACAAACAAATCATTGATCGATCGATCGATGGATCATCCATAACACAAAATGTTAATTTTTAATTAACCGTAAATGTAGATGGTTGACACAAACGCTAGTAAGCTCATCAGTTAAAAGGCACTAAGAAATTAAGGGATATGCCTAATTACCCGTTCAATAAGCAAGTGAAGATTGTCATTGCTACAATGGCTCTTCATAACTACATACGGAGGTATTCTGAACGTGATCGTCATTTTGATGACCCTAGGGACTTTTGTGAAGAAAGCGATAGTAGTGATGATGATGATGATAAATATCAAAATTATCAAGTTGAAGGATCACATGAGATAGAGGCATTAAGAAATAGAATAGCAACAAGTTTGATGAATGCATCTAATTAGACTACTTTCAAGTACATTAACAATATTGTACTAATGAATCCTAGCTATTCACTCTAAAATATTTCTATTAAAGTAGTTTGTCATACTAATTAATATTTAAGATAAAGTTTATAAATATTTTTCTTCTAAAAATAAAATATATTTAGTAATTCACTTTTATTTGTTAAGAAAATTAAATTAATAGCACATCTAGTAATATACCCTTTTTGGTCATTTCACACAGTCACAGCTGTTTTACAAAAAAGTTTACCAAACACTATGATACTGCTTTTTGTTTCCAAAAGCACTTTTACAAAAAAGTTTACCAAACACTTTGCTGGCTTTATTTCACAACCGCTTATTCTCACAGCACAGCCACTTATTCTCACAGCAGCTTTTTTTTAAAGCACAACAATACCAAACCAGCCCTCAGTCCTCTTTCTCTCTCTCTAAATCTGTTGCGGCTCCTCCTTTCTTCAGTTTCTCTCTCTTTCGAAGAGACCCGCAGAGCATTTTCTTTCATCTCCGAACAGATATCCTCAAATCATTGACTGGATTTTCTGAACTTTCCGCTGACGGACAACCTTAAATCATGAGTCAATAACTCATCATCTTGACCCAACCAATTAGTCAGACAGGTACGTCGTCTCTGTGAATTTGCTTGAGTGAGTATGCAATGCATATAAAACACTTTCTTCTATCTAATAAGGGTGCGTTTATTGTATCGAACTGTATCGGACTGAACTAGCTTCAGGGATTAAGATGAACTGGCTTAGACTAGACTAAAACTATCGGACTAAGTCATGAACCTTTTTTTTTTTTTTTTTTAAATTCAATTGTTTTTCAAATTTTTAATTCATATTTACTAATATTTTACTATTATTAATCTACAATTTTTTTTTCTCACTCACTCTCTCTCCACTCTATGTATCTTTTCTTTCATTTCTCATGTATCCCATCGTTTCCGTCGAATTGAACTCTACTCTGCATCTCTGTCCTCTCTCTCTCCCTTTCCTTTTTCTTCTCCCAATTTCAAGCTTAGTCAAACCTTCTATTTCCCTTTCCACCTCTTGCCCTTCTCTTTGGGTGTTTTGCAATTCCTAGATGTGGTATTTTTGCAATTCTCAGAGGCTTGGCGAGGTAACTGGTGGGGAGTTAGGGTTTGTGGAGTTGGGGGAGTGAGAGACAACGGTGGCTTGGGGTTGGAACACTTAGATTGCTTGTGGGGCTGCATGAACCTCTTCAAAGTCTTTGTCATGGCCGTTCCGACTTCGCTTGTAGAAATTCGAGATGGACTTGGATTTCTTAGATTTGTTTCCATCAAACCCAATTGAAGGCTAACGCAAGAGACGGTCTTAGTAGTCCGAAGCATTTTGGGGGGTCTCGCTAAGACCTCCTAGCGAGGTCGTTAGTCCCTGCGAGTCCCATCTAATCTCATTAAAACTAGTCCTTGCCAACCCAAACACGAGACTGGACTAAGTGTTAGTCCAATCCAGTCCAGTGATAGCTAGTGAGGCAAACAAACGCACCCTCCTCTTACCATTTATGAAAAAATAAAATACAAAATAGAAGTTATATATGTTATGTTCAATCAAAGTTTTAAAAGACGCTAGAGCTAGTTGGACGGTGAATTGACGTCTAGCGGCTAAGCGGGGTTTAAACGGATTTATGTAAATTTAATATAAATTAATTAAATTTACTATATCATGTATAAATAATGTGTCTTTTTACAAAAATAATATATGTGATGTTAGGGTTTAAATACATACTAATGTAAATTGTCTTAAAAGAAAAAAGAATAATAAAACAATAGAAGATTGAGGAGATGGTAAGGAGAGTTCCAGGAGGATCCTTGCCGGATCCCTTTTGTGAGGATTTCAGGGATTCTCTAATCATATCCGTTCATCATATATCATGTGATCAGAAATCATTATAAATTTTTTATTTAAAATTGAATATAAACAGTACTTGACAAAAATTGACTGCACGATGTACGATGAATGAATGTAATTGGAGGATCTCCGACCCGGAATCCTCACAAAGAGAATCCGACGAGAATCTTCTCTCAAGAGAGTTATTATTCTTTTTACTAGTTTATGTAAATGGTCTTAAAAGAAATAAAAAAAATAAAAATGGTAAAGAGAGTTATTGGGATCAGGAAAGAGGAAACTCGTGCAACCAAAATAGAGGAGATGGTGAGAACATAAAGAATTCACCCGTCCGTTTAAATTGAAAGTTAATGTGGTGGTCCCCACCCGTTCATCTTCGTGACCTGCAACATCATTTTTACGGATTGATAAAAAATTTTAGATCCCTGCGTCTTCTCATATGCCGGCCTAGCTTCCGCCTAGACCCGACTAATCCCACCTAGCGTCTGCCTAATATGTTTTTCAATTTTGCAATCGATTAGGAATTAATGGCAGCGGTCGATAACCGTCCAGCACCTAGGCAGCTGCCTAGGCCAATTTTTAGAACACAATGTTAAATCAAGAGTTGCAACCTAAGCCGTCTATGCACCTTTTCTTATTTTTTAAGTGCCTATTAAATAATTATAGCAATGGTCACTAAATGCGAGGTCTAGACAGCACTAACATTGAACATGACATTATGCAAAGTTGTGCACCTTCTAATTTATTGTCATAATCCTAGGTGTACAATTTTACTTGAAGCAGTGCTAGTAACTTTTGTTCTCTACCAAAATGGGTAAACATATTTGTTCAAACATCCATCTCGTATACAAAAATAAATAAATCTTCTCCTGCTTGGGCCCATTGAGGCCTAATACTAAACCATTATCAGATATAGGCTTCTCACAATTCAGCAACAAAATCTATATGGCCCACACGATGACACAACACAGAGTGCAGAGAGAGAGTGCGTCTGAGTCATAGACAGTTCCCCCTCTAAGATCTCGAAGCGAATCCGCCTATCAAGCTCTCAGTCGCCATCGCCGGAAAACCCAGTCCAATCTGCAGGTCTCTCTCTCTCTCTCTCTCTCTCTCTCTCTCTCTCTCTAATGTTGCGCTCTGCCTCAAAATCTAGAATCTTTAAAAACCTCGGAAACTCCAAACACATTCTGGTAACTCGTACTTCAAGAACCCAGTTGGTCTTTTGAGTCGGTTAAAATCCTAGTAAAATGCTTGGTTTCAAAAAAATGCGAACCCAACAAACAGTGTCTTTTGTGTGTGTGTGTGTGTGTGTTTATTATCTAACTTAATTGAAAAAGGAGCTTGAGCTCATGTGAAATTTGCCACATTATCTTATCTGTTCTCGTTGGTTGGTTGGTTTAGAATTCCGATTCGGAAGTGTAAAGATCTCAGCTTTGAGATATGATGATCGCCGCGGTGGCGCTGGTGGCGGTTATCCTTCTGGTAGCTTTCTTTTTGATCCCACGAGGCCCAAAATATGGTATTTTCTTCTTGGTTAATCTTGAAAAAGAAAATGAAGTTGTACGAGATTCAAAAGATTCAACTTCTTATAAAAAATAAAAAAAAATGTTTGTTTCGATGCAGGGAAAGTAAAGAAAGTTCTGTCGAATCAGAAGGTAATTGTAATTGTTAACAACATTAACACCCAAAAATTAAGACTGTTTTTTAAGGAAGTGTTTGTGTTACCTTAATTTTCTGGTTTTCTTCAGCCAGCCAGAATGTACACGAAGGCTGATGTCTCGTTGCATAACAAGCGAACGGATTGTTGGATAATTATTAAAGACAAGGTAACATTTCGATTTTTCAGTTGCTTAGGCTCTCTTGTTTTCCATGGATTCACACTTGCATAATCCTTGTGTTAACAACAATGTTGTAGGTATACTGATATTACCTCATACGTAGAGGAGCACCCGGGTGGTGATGCCATTCTAGATCATGCTGGGGATGATTCGACTGAAGGGTTTTTCGGGTGAGTATCGCTTGTTTTCTATGTCACTAGATATAAGCTTGTTTTCTTCACTCACACTCATGGCTCCATCCCTAAATTCCTACGACAAAGCCTCACTCACCAACTGATAACTTCGTGATTGATTATTTCGTTGGATGTGTGTTAATTAATGTAAGTGACTGCATAATTTTCAGAAAAGCCTTGTCCATCTACTTGGGATTGATTACTGATGTATGTTTAGGAGAAGCTCCGAACATAGTGTCTCATAATTTGTTGTAATTGTTCTTAGTTTGTGCAAAGTCTGAATGTTTGTTACGTTGATAGTTCCGGTACAGGAAAGGCAGAAGTTCTTGTCCTCCTGGGCTCTGTTTAAAACTAACCCGCTTGTTCTTTCTTAAATCTTTCCTAACCCGAAATCTAAGAATCAACGGAATGTATGTAGACATCAGCACATTCTTTTGCATTTGCAAGGTTATATCAGTTCCTGATAGTTTCTTGTTATCTTTACCTTTCGTGTGGTAGGCCGCAGCATGCAACCCGAGTCTTTGACATGATCGACGACTTTTACATTGGAGATCTGGTGCTGTGACCAACTCGGAGTCACTTTTCTTTCTCTTTTGTAATATCGGTTGGAGAATGTACTTTGCCATTCCGTTTTCTCTTTGCATTTCCGTTTCTTGATTGCAGCAATGTATCTTTACACACTTTCCAGCGGGTTTTAGTGAGAAATTTTTCCTTTATCCGCTGACTAAATCGAAGGGGCACATTACCGAGATATCTTTTAGTTGTCGATCGTGTTCGTGTTTAAATTTTAGGGCTCCTCACAAGTACGCCCTTCAAAACTCGTATTTCATAGTCAACACGCTTGCGTTTCGTTCTCTAATTCAAACTTTCAAAGTTTTTCGGCTTTTGAGATTGGCATAACTTTTCATTTTGGCTCTTGAGATTTAAAATCAATAGAAATGGTCTTTAAGCTTGTCTATTGTCAATTGTTTTGATTATTTCATGAAAAATCTTTGTTAAATTCAAGGTATTTTGTCAAATCAACCCTTTACTTGAACTGGTGGTTTCTTCAATGATACGGAGTTTTTTTTTTTTTACAAAAGAACCAAAATGATTGACGGTGGACAATCTTAGATACCATTTTGGCTAAATGTCTCCTTCGCTACAGACGAAAATGAAGGGAAGAGCCAACAGTGCAACACTGGAAATGGAATCAAATCTCTACTTGCTATCATTTGAATCTCAACTGTAAGAATTTGAATTACATAACTAAAAAAGTAAAGGGTGCAAATTACAAATCAACCGAGGCAGGTCAGGTTTGAGGCTGAAGAACAAATGGATTGAATGGGGTTTTGAAAAAATGAGACTAAAATTCCTAAAACACTTTAAATCAATCAATAATTGAATGGCCAACCAATCTAACCCCAACAATTTTTTTCTTCTAACAATCTCGTCGCCCATCCGATCTTTCAACGCCGGGCAAACCGATCGAAAGGCGTTTTTTCCAATCACATTCGCTAGATATCGTATTTCTTCGGCTGACGCCATTGTGCCAAACTTCTGGCCAAAGAGCTGAGGAATGGCAGTTTCGGAGGAGCTCCTTTCTTCCCTAAATGCTTTCCTCCCAAGTCCGTATATATCGGACCCATATCCTTGCTTCGTTCAATCTTCAGCGAAAACATACAAATTATAATTCAGAACATGCAGCTCAAACGTTGTACATTGTTTCCCTTCATATGTAGGGAAAAATGAAGTCCTTAAAGCTAAGAAGAAAGGCCTTAGACGGCATACCTTGAATATCTTCCCATCCTTTAAGTGATATCGAATACCAGACCAATTTATCGACTGAGAGAAATGAGAACGGAAGGCAGAGATGGGGTACAAAAAATTATCCACTATAAGTGCGATAAAAACCTGCCAAATCGAAAACCAGTGAATGAGGATTAGAGAATACTCAGGTAGCCATCATCAAGACGTTCCAGAGCTCCAACTAAGTATGAAGTTTGGATCTTTAAAGAGATGGAGATTACGAAACGCTGTTTTTTCTATGGTACTTCAAAATACTTTCAGTCAAGATATTTAGTTAAGTGTAATATACAGCATTCAAGACACAAATAATGAAATTCACAATTCTTCGAGCGTATAGAGATGGATACTTACAAGGCTCCAGTTGTAAGTAGCAAGTGAGAGTTTAGGAGTCTCTGGCGATAACAAGTTGCATAAATGAACTTCTATCCTGGTCAAGTTCCACATTGAAAGAAGTTCGATAATTGTGCATGTCGCTAGGCAGCCTACCAGTTTCAATCCTGAGAAAGGGTGGTTGAACATTTAAGAGTTTGAGAAACGTTTGGTTTTTTTTAGGCAAGGAATCATAATCATATAAACGGGATAGAGAATCAAATTTTATCTTGCACACTGGTTTTCTACATTAGCATTTGAATCAACGCTATTAACCTACCTAAAAGAGAAAAGAGTGCTCACCACCAAAAGTGAAGGTTGTTTCCTCGATTGAATACCCCGTAATATGCATTCGTAGGGCTGCGGTGATATGAATAATGGCCATTAAGAATGGTGTTACAAATCCCCATGAGAGATAGCAGTGGACGGTAAACAATGCACGGTTCATAATCCAGTTAACTGTTGTTGTATATGATTCCAACACAAATGTCTGCTTCCTCAAGTAGTTCCAATACCTTCATGAAAAGTCAAAGGATGTAAGCATGAAGTATGACTGCAATTTTACCTTTTTTAGTAAACAAGTGTGCATTACAAACCTTGGAAAACTAAGATCACTTGCAAGCGGATGGGGGAAAACGGCAACTGGAGGTGATGTGATGAGCCTTTTATGAGCACCTGGAAAAAGGTCATAACATCAGCAACAATGCATAGCCACTTTAAAACCATACAGAACCAAATCATGCAAAAATCCCTGATGTAATGTCTCCCTTCCCTTGTAAACAGTTTCCCCCCAAAGGCGATTTAAAAACACGAAAATACAAAGGGAGAGCGCTAGTTTAACATTCGAACAGCCAAAAAAAAATGGTATGCACAAGACAGGGTATAAGTTGGCAGGGTAATTATATCAGATTGACAAGACGAATGCATCTAAGCCTTCACCTAGCACAGAAAACATCAATGAGTATATTACCGGCTATAGCTGCAAGAGTCATATCATCAGAGTAACCGCCATTTTTAAGTCCTGTGACCACTCCATAGCGGTCGAGTCTAAAATCATCTGCATGCATCTGCAAGGAATTTTGAACAGTTAAAACAGCAAGAAATTTAAAACAACTAAAACGGCATGATGATTTTGTGCATGCAGGACTTAAAGAAGGTTACTACTACTTACCATCATGCATCCTCCCCACAGAAAGAATGTCCTTCCACCAGTAGCAAAGCCCATTGAGCAAGGCTATACAAAACAAGATGACAAGGAGTCCGACTTCAATTAAGATATAGTAGGAAGCTTAAGATAAAATACAAGAAATAACTACTAAAAATTATATACGCATGTATTTACTATTTAGATGTTAAAATACAGATATATGTATATGAATTTTTTTTGAAAAATAAGTAGGTACCATATGATATTCATAAATGCAGTAACTCCCTAAGCTTCCTGAAGGCAAATCAAGGGGGTATCCGGTTTGGATAAATATCTGCACATTATTTAAAACAGAATTAACACCATAACAGAACCCACAGCTAACACACCACAGTATAAGATAGGATCAGCATACAAAAATCTTACATCAGGATTTTTCTCCATCTCGGAGGTTAGGGCTCCAATCGACCCAGGGTGAAGTCTAACATCATCATCCAAAAATAATACATACTTGCTGTCTTTGTGCATTTTCTCCACTCCAATCTGCAAAAAGAGATTACGATCTAGTAATTGATATAATTAGTCACTACAGAATGACATGCTTTAAAGTTTGAACCATGTATGAAAAGAGATTTAAACAAGAAGAAAAGTTACACAACAATGAGTCTGATGCTTTATACAGTGTAGACATATACCCTACTGCACAAGCATAGTAGCAAAGCATAAATTATTTTAATCAGGTACATACCAATTGGTTGTGAATTTTCTGACTACAGGTTGTTGAAAGACCAGCCACAACAATCTTAGCATCAACCTCGTCCTGCATGGAAACGAAGTTAAAGTTAAAACACATCATCTGGGCATACATGTAATCATATACATTTTACACATTAAACTTATAGGGAAGATGAAAGACCAGCCGCAACAATCTTAGCATCAAACTTGTCTTGCAAGGAAATGAAGTTAAACTTAAAACATGGTCATCTGGGCACACATGTTAGGCATAAACTTACGCTTCCAGGCATATATTATATGACTTTTCCTGGATGTTCTTGAGTTCTTCTTATATTAAAGAAACCATAATTATTGGGAAGTTGTGTATACCTTAAGATCTGATAGCAGCAAAGATACAGCACGATAAGCAGGGTCTTCTCTGCTTTCCACGATAAACATAAATTCTAAGGGACCACCGTAAAGAGAAGTGACCTGTGTTCGTTAATGAAACAAAATAGTTCAGACCATACTGGAAGAAAACCTTGGATACAAATTCAACCTATTAAATCAGTTAGCACAAGGATTTTGAACACTTCACCATATAATCTATCATTTAAAAGGTGTTGAACATATGATAATTGTTCAACAACTCCTTTTTTCCCCAAAGAAGAAAATATACACACACAAGAGCGTACCCTCTAAACCAAAGAAAACTCCTAGCATCCCCGTCAAAAGATTTATAATTTGATATGTAAATTGGGGATTGGCAACAATACTTACATGTATTGAATATAGTCACCATCTCGATTGTATTAAATACAAATATTCACATGAATTATATATGACCATTAGATGGTGATTGTAGTAAATACATTTAAGTATTGTAGCCAAATTCGTAAATTTATGTTGTTTTTATTGACAGGACCAAAGCAATGCGCCCTCTAACCTGACTTCTCCAATTGTGTAAATTGTGTTCTCCAAATCCCTTCAAAGGCATAACAACTGTTACTCTGGGCAGTTTGAGCTGATTTGAGTGCTCAAGTTCAGCGATATCATGGCAAAGGAAAGCAAAGCTATTGCCTCGTTGCATACTATCCTTCATCCGATTAATCTCCCTATTCCTGTGCGGTTCACAATACGAAGAAAAAAAATCGTTGAATATCAAGCACATAATGGATTTAACACCGAACGAGCACGGTGGCCATGCTAGTAGTTGATATTACATTGAAGTCAGAATATAAACTCAAGTACCTGACATAAGCCGCACAAGCCCATCCGAAAGCAAGAACCAAACAGATTAGACATCCCTACGGCGCAAATATAGAAATTTAGACGTGCCCACCAAAAGAAATACATAGTTTAACTATGTTAATCTAATATCACAAATATATTAATCTTCCAAATCTCAGTGCCCAATAGAGTGTAATTTGAACTTCATATGAAAAAAAAAAACTAATCTTTCAATTTGAAAATAACATAAATAATCGCCTAGGAAATTGCGAAATCAAGAAGTAATATAAGTCGATTTTTGAAGTGCCAATAACATTTCTCAATCATAAAGCAGTCTACTTTTTTTTTTCAGTTTAAACCTCATTTTCTGGATTTTTGACTTCTCTCTCACCCAGAAATCAAATAGTTGACCTCCATTTATTGCAACTACAACGAATTTCACACAGAAATTCGAAAACTACTTTTAAGCTAAAAAGCATGAAGCTTTAATTTTTTTTTTCTTTCAATAATCGAAAATAAAAACTGCCGCCATAAACCGAAATTGAAGAAACTCAAACTTCGAATTTGAGGAATCGGCAATTCGAGAACCTGAGTTCGATCAGCCGCGACGCCAAATTACAAATCAAACACAACGAAAAGAAATTTTCCACTGAATTTTCTCGGCAACCAAACGGACCGGGATCTGAACGAAACATAAAATGGCGAAAAAAATCGAAACTTGAAGGAAAAAAAACAAACCTGGATCTGAACGAAGACCGCTAGGGGGCTGCAGAACGCTTTGCTGAGAGAGAAGAGTATCGAATCGAGAGGATCCAATGCAGACATTATTACCATACGCTCGTGTGATTGTATATCTCTCTCTTTATATAAATATATATATGTATATATTTTAGGTCTCTTTCTTTGTTTCTCTCGGATTGCTTGCTAGAGGTAGGAGGAGTCAAAGATTAAGGCGAGGAGAGAAGCCGCAGACATTCTCTCAGACCGCCATGGCCGACGAACAGCGTCGATATCGCGACGGAGAGACGTAGGGGAGAGAGAGAGAGTGAGAGGAGAGAAAGGGGATTAGAGTGAGAGCGCGTAATTTTATATTTCGAAGGAGACAGAAATTTTCCAATTGCCTCGCTGGCTGCGGCTCATTGACCACACAATATAACAGTATTTCCTTCGTGCACTTTTGCTGGCTTTGAAGAGAAAGGGTTGAAAAAGAACGGAGACCGATACCGTTACATATTAATTCCTCGTTTTTCATTTGTTGTTTAGTCCGACTACAATAACGAGATTATTTACATTAAGTGATGCGAGATAAATTATTATAGTGATATCAGGATCTTCGGATACGAGATTTAAACTTACAGTCTCTCACTTCTAGATGAAAAAAAAAATATTGTAAAATTGTAGTATTAAGTAACATAATATTATCAATCTTTGGGTCGTGAGAACATCCTTGGGCGTAGGAAAAATCTCTCAATATTGCTAGACGGACGTATATGTAAAATGATCTTTCCTATTTAGTCGCACATCATTATTTAGAGAGATTTTTCAATGTGTTGGGTGACACAACATGCACATCAAGATTATAATTCAAGTGGTTGGGCTGTGTCCCGGCACATTGAAAAATTTCTCCATTATTTGACAAATTAGCATCAATATCAAAAAGTTTTGGCGCACATATCAACGTCAAGTTATTGGTTGTAAGGAAAAAGGGATTTTTTACATGTATGAGCTAAGCATTTTTTGCGTAGTATAGAGATATGGGAATTTACTACTTCATGAAAGAAAATTATTTCCGCGTGTCATTTTTCTTATTTTGCTTACACTCTGATTTTTATTTGATTTATTCAATTGAAATACTGATACCAAAGATAAAAAATGCTATACAAACAAAATGGGCCATATTTTATGTATCGTAACATATACAACTACGAGTTTATATTTTCGGTATAACATTGATAAATAAAACACGTGTTATATCGAATAAATTGATAGAAGAATAAAAATATTAAAATAGAGGAATTGAGACGGCCAATCAGAGGTCGTGAGGTGTCATCTTGTCATAAAAGGAAGATGCTTATTTAATATCCGAATCTATAACTTCGTGTCGTTTTGAATAACATTGTTGTGCATCACTGTCTTTGCAAGCTATCATCGCATATCCTTTCTGTCGTGTTTGTTTTCTTTAATCCTTATCTTATTATTTAATTAATTGATTAATTATTTAATTTACTCCCATAATCCCTTTTGTTTTTGCTAACTCCACGACTCAATCTATATCTTCTCTTTCATTTTTATTTTTATTTTTCTTTTTCATGTTTGGATGTCGAGAAAATTAAGAAGCTATAAAGAAAAAGAAGTTTAATACAATTTCTTAATTATTTATTGTGCGAAGCAATTATTGACCATGAATCAAGGCAGTTCGTGTACCAACATGATCATTTCTCGATCCCTTTGGTGAGGATTATAAGAATCTATTAATCGTGTCTGTTTTTCATACATTATACGATCAGTTTTTATTAGGTATTACTTGTGTTTAATTTTAAATAAAAATATTTAAAATGATTTATGACCGTATGATGTATGATGAATTAACACGATTCATGGATAGTCGGGATCCTCACAAAGAGGATCCGGTGAGTCTCCTGATTCTTTCGTGTACGCTAATTGAGTTTACTAAAATACTTGTTTTGATTTATTTTATCAAATAACAATGGTAGACTGCTGCATGTTTTGAATTTAGTTAGTCGGAGAAATGTGCTCTACTTTGACGTGAAATCGTTTTTGGTAAAAATGTTTTTGAAACAAATCCTTACTATAAATTCAAGTGGATCCTGGAAAAGTACTCAATGTCTTTTTTTTTTTTTTTTTTTTTCAAATCTCTTTCAAAGTCTTCATAGATATTTGTCTACCCTTTTGCTTTGACGACTGACAGCTTGTCTCGTAGTCGCATTTTCTAACTGAAACATTAGTAAGAGTTCGGTTCAATTGTCTAAATCATCTTAAACGATCTCCACTAACTCTACAAATCAACCTAATTCATATGCTCACTCAATTAATTTGAAATTTGATCCATTGAATAAGGATAGAAACCTATACAAACACATCATCTTGTGATCACATTGGTAGGTACAAGTAGCATTCATACAAACTTATGTTTCAATGTTTCATGTAACATCTTGAGCTACCAAAGACGACTTTTGGAGATAACTTTGGGTCCGGGGATGTATGAGTAGGACACACAACGTTGGTAAGTCAAAGGAATAAATTTTACCAATCTCGACATAAGTATCGCAGAATGACTCTTGGTTACAAGTTGTAAACTGACACGTATTATAAAGACAAAAAAATAATGTTTGCAAATGCGTTGAACCATAATTTATCTGCAAGGAGCACAATAAGGAGCTAATTATTTTTTCGAAGTTAATTAAAGAGTCTGTTTAGAATTGCTTTTGAAAAGGTTAAAAGTGTTTTCTATCAACAAAAAACGCTTATGAATTGTAATAGTATTTTATGGAGAAGTGTGTTACATGTTTTTTTTTGAGCATATTTGGCACCAAAAATATTTTTGACCGTGTTTAGCAAAAAAAGTTAAAAGTGATGTGTTTTAAGATGCACTTGTATTTTCATAAAAAAATTAAAAAAAAAAATTGTAGTTAGTGAAAGTGCTTCTGAGTATATATAAGTGCTTTTTAAAAATACATTTCCAAAGTAGCCCTTCATGATGCATTTCCAAGAAAGCAATTGAAATTTTATCATGTTTGTAATAAAGACACTTCTAACAAAATCGCTTATAAGTATAAGTACTTCACACTTATGTAATTCCAAATAAGCCATGAGAAAGAATGGAACAAATTCGGTGCCACCACCGTAGTTGTGACGATATTCCTTGCAAGTTTTGCTGTCGCCCCCAAAGAGGTGGAAAAGTGCTTTTGACTTAAGTGGGCTGTCAATGGGTTGGTTTAGCTTAATATTGGCAAGGAAAGGCGGCTGGGAAGACGGGTGGACCAAATCAGAACCTCAGACAGAGAGAGAGGCATGAGGAGGACGCATCTTCAATTACACATTTGCCATCCTCTTCGTGAATCACATGGTCTTGCCAGATTTGAAGCCGATGGAACATGTTGATGGATCATACAACTAACATGGCAACATTTTATATTTTATTTTTTGTTCTTATTTTTTTATATTTGGGATGGTTGGATTTGGTATATTGTGATAGGGGTCCCTACAAAAAATCCTTCTAATTTGACTTGTACCTACAATTCTGGGTCGAAAGAGGACTGTCAGCTTTTTGAGGGCATTTCCAATGCATAGGGAGTAAGATTCTCTGCTCTTCAAACTATTTTTTCCTCTAGTTAGAAATTCTGGGATGGGAAAAGGAATGCAAATATAGGGTATTTATTTTTTTTTTTTTTACATTATCCAGTGATACGGGTCTTTTACATCCTAAAATTTCCGGCCAATTGGAGTAAAAAACTAGGCTTTAAGATGTAAATTGTTCATTTCAAGACAATTTACATCTCCTGTTGGAGATGCCCTCAGAATTCCATATGCATCAATTTGCTTCCAGACTCTTAAGGCATATTTACTTGCAAAGAATCGGCGTGCGAGATATGTGTATTGTCCTCATTCTTAAACCCGAACAAACAGAGAATGCAAAAGCAGGTCCCTCATTGAAATTCGGTGTGTCACGACTCATATTTGAACAACTAGGTATTAGATCAATGAGGGTGTAGTTTTACAACTAGAAGAACGGGTATCATTCTCATTCATGACTTCTCCGATTCACGCTTCAAACAGCACTGGGAATCTGGATTGGATGAGCTTTGGGATGGAAAATAATGGACAGAATGTGACACAACTGCTATGGAGATCCTATTCACCTATTTAGGTTGGCAAATTTCGCAAAATTTCGTTTGATTACACGCATCATATAAGATTCAGGAACTGGAAAACAAAAAAGATGGATGCCATTTTCGAACCATATATGCTCGAAACCAACTATGCATAGGCGATCAAGAAACAAACAAAAACTCATAAGCATTTGACATCAACGCTATATCATATGCAGAACCTACAGAACAGGTCTCGTACCGCACGTTTAGTTGCAGAAAACTTAACTTTCAGCTGTAAATGCAGACAATTCTGCAGTGTAGAGTAACAATTGAAAGCTAACCATACTTCATATCATCGCGAGATTTGCGGTACTCACTCATTAACATTGGAACACCACGCTCATAGATTAGAGGGAAATGTATGTGTTTTGTGATAAGCGATAACGGAAAGTTGCAGGAAACACGACAGCAGTCTTTGAAGATGATTAGTTGCTGTTTCTAGTTTCTAGGAACAAACGTGAATAATAGCGTCCAAGCTTCAAATAAATCAATAGTATGAACTGTGACGCACAATTTAATGATCTCAACTCGTTTAAGATAATCATTTTAACGCCAAAAATTAGTTGTTATGGCACACATTTCTGATCAAGAGGCTATACGGAAATAAAAACTGTAAACCTACTCCCAACTTTAGATAAAGCTCTAAAAAGTGCTAATATAAAGTACAATGTCTATGACGAACCTCAGTCAAGTTCGTCAGTGTTGATTAACTGCATTGACATTCTCATCGTTATCGTTTCCTGTTAAGTGATGAAGCAGCACACCAGCTGCAACACTGACATTTAAGCTCTCCACGGCCAAAAATGATCGAAACTCTTCAGCTGAGCATGCATGATTCCCTTCCATGGTTTCAGTATCATCAACTCCACCAGCAGTAATTTCCATGGGAATATTCCCCGGGATTCTAATCAAATCAGTGCAAGATCTTTCCACCAAGGGTCTCAACCCAGTGCCCTCACTTCCCAGAACAAGAATTGTTGGCACACTAGGTGCAACCTCTTTCAAAGGTATAGCCTTGGAAGAAACAGAACCTCCAAGAAACCGCCAACCATTTTCAGCCGAGGATGTTAGGAACTGCATCATATTCTTGCAGTATCTCAACTCCATCAACTCAAGTGAGCCTGCACTTGCTTTGCTCACAACGCCACTCAGTGGGGCTGAATTCTTGGCACATAATACCACCCCAGAAGCTCCAAAGAAGTAAGCCGACCTGATGATTGCCCCCACATTCTGAGGATCTGTAACCTCATCCAAAGCAATCCAGAGAGAACCCTTATCTTCCTCAACTGAAACAGGTTCTAATTCGTTAATTTTCACCATCTCCAACGGAGAGGCATCTAGAACCAGAACCTGATGAGGTCGATTATCAGTAGCCATATTAAGATCATGCTTAGAGACATCCTTTACGTTTAACCCAATCTTGTCAGCCATCATTAAAATTCTCTCAAAGCCCTTCTTGTCCTTCTTCTTCCTATTATTTTTGCTCAAATCCATCCCTTCTTGAATATACAATGCATAAAATTCTCTTCTTCCAGCTGACAAAGCAGCCAAAACTGGACCAACACCATAAACACTTTGGCCAATCATCCTAGGCACGGACGATTCAGTAGCCTCTTTCCATGTCTTCTTACCCCAATCTTCCTGCCTATTCCACCTTCGAAACTCAGGTCTCTCACGTCCAGGTTTTACATCTTCCATTCCCCTGAACTTGTTTTGAATACAATCCCACCTTGGATCATCAACTGCCTCCATTTCTTCTTCTTCTGCATCTCCTTCTGTATTGGCTTCCTCCAATCTTCTGTCTCTCCCACGGTAATCACTTTGATAATCCTTTACCGCACTTCCCCTTCCAATTCTACTTTCTTTATTCCCATGCTCAAATGGACCACTTTTCCTAACATAATTTTTTTCTGTATCGGCTTCCCCCAATCTTCTGTCCCTCCCATGGTAATCATTTTGACGATCCCTTACCAAAGCTCCCCTTCAAGTTCTACCTTCTCTACTCCCATACTCTGATGCACCATTTTTCCTAACATAACTTTTTCTTGACACCTCCCAAGAAGCACGACCAGTTTTCGACTTTGTTTCTTCCTCTAACATACTTGCTGAATTGTCCCAAGACGACTTACTACTATCTCCATCTAAACTCTTTGCTGCTCCCCCCCAAGAACCATTATCACTAACTTCCTCTAACCTCTTTGCAGATTCCTCCCAAGACGAAACAGATGTCTTCGCTGTAGTTCCTTTCTCCAACCCTCGTGCTCCCTTAGCTTTTGCTGCCGGCAACCACGGCAGTCTTTGCCCTGCTCTTCCCACACCACTCCCTCCATTTACTTTCTGACCAGACCAACTCGAAAAACCTCGTCCTCTTACAAAACACCAATTCTGTGTACCACTTCTCATCCTAAACCCCCCAGAAACACTTCTGGGTTTTGCAACAATCCCCTTTTCGAGAATCTCACAATACGAACCGGTCGAAAACTGAACCAAATGCGACAACCCGTAATTTTTTTCACCAAACCCGGATGTGGGTTTTGTGAGTTTGATCGGACTAAGGTTTATTGGGGGTTTTGGATGAGACCCAATTTGTAAAGATTGAAAGTTTGAGGTGTGAAACGATTTGGGTCTCGAACAAACCCTAATTGCCAAGGGAAATGCTTGGCCTTTTGCTAAATTCGCATACATTGCATTCACTATTTCAAAAAGAACCAGAATCCGAAAACATAAAAGGGGGTACAGAGAAAGAACAAAAACCTGATTCAGAAACGATTTCTGAAGAAATTGGAGGCCTTTTGATTCACCGTGATGCTTATCCGCAGTTCAAACGACATCGTATTGCTGAACGGTTCCAGCCACCACTACGAAGCTTTACCGGAGAGTGAGGATGGATGGCGGGGAGGTTAACGGCAGACTTGGAAGATAAGATACTGTAAGCTGCTATACGACGTCGTACCCTTGAACCTACGATGAACCCGACTGACATGGAATCGGATGGACAATAATGCCCCTTACAGGGCCAAAACATAACGACCCGAACAACCCGGACGACCCGGACCCGCTACATATGTAAGGATATTTCCGTCAGAGCACCAAACAAAAACCTAGAACCAGAAGCAAAAGAGGCCCTCTCAACTCGATATCTCTCGCCTTCTCCATACAAAAACCTTCGAAAGCAGCGAAAAACCCTCCCCGCCCACCACCGCCTCTCGGCAGAAATATGGGGACTCCAGAAACATCCCGGGAACCGTGCCCCGACCGCATCCTTGACGACATCGGCGGTGCCTTCGGCATGGGTGCTGTCGGTGGGTCCGCCTTCCACTTCCTCAAGGGCGTCTACCACTCCCCATCCGGCGCCCGGTTCGTCGGCGGATCCCAGGCCGTCCGGATGAACGCGCCGCGCGTCGGCGGGAGCTTCGCCGTCTGGGGAGGCCTGTTCTCCGCCTTCGACTGCACCATGGTCTACGTCCGCCAGAAGGAGGACCCCTGGAACTCCATCATCGCCGGCGCCGCCACCGGTGGCTTCCTCCAGATGCGCCAGGGGCTCGGCGCCTCGGCCCGATCGGCCGCCTTCGGTGGCGTTCTCTTAGCGCTGATTGAAGGAGCTGGGATCATGCTTAATAAGTTTATGAGCCAGCAGCAGCAGATGCCGGTTGTGATTGAAGAACCGGCGAATATGCCCGGTGTGCCTGGTCTTCCTCCGATGGGCCGGGCTCCTGGTCAGCCAGGCCCACCGGAGATGGCAACGTCTGTTAGCGGCGGCTCTGAGGCGAATTCGAGCTCAGGATCGTGGTTTGGGGGGTTGTTTGGAAAGGGCAATGAGCCTGAGGCTAAGAGCAGCGGAAGCGAGACGAAGGTTTTGGAGAGTTTTGATGCACCGCCTGTTCCAACCTTCGAGTTTAAGTGATTGATCGAATGATTAAGGTAAGGATTAAGGAGGAAGGGTTTTGATTAGAAGGATGATGATTAGATTCATATATTGTATTTAGGGAGAATGGGTTGGCATTGAACTGAGGAATTTGGGAAAGTTAAGGTTTTTATTGCTAATTTTCGCAGAAAAGATATGTTTATGTTGTGCTCTGTCTTTTACTAGTCTTTTGGAATAACCAAGAAGTTATAGCTTGTATTATAACGCTTTTCGAATTCAAATTTGATTTCTTGCTTGAATTGTTCTTCGAGCCACGGATTAATTTGTGTATTGGAGATGATATTGATATGCAGAAGAATGCTTTGCAATAATTTTCGCGGATTAGGAGCGCTCGGAATTTTCATACATTGGATTGATTTCGCTTAATTTTTGTGGACAATGTGATAATTTTGTTGTGACTTGGTTTAGGATTTGCAAGCTGGCCTTGGTGCTTGTTTGCTTGATCATCGCTTTTCTGTAATTCTTGTGCTCATACTTTGAGAATGACTATTTTACACAAATTTGTCCTGGTTATATGGATATTGAATGCTTTGGGAACCAGTTGTTGCGTTGAGGCTCGTAAGGTTCACAAAGAGTAGATGTGAATAGCATCATTCAAGTTTAAGTAAGGCCCGGATTTGTGAACCGCTTGATGTTCTTGTTTATGCGTGTCGAGATTGATGTGATCAATATGTAGAGAAGGAAATCCCCTTCCTTTGAGAAGTAAGCCAGATAGTTTATGTTTCGTTGTTCCTCGCAATTTCAAAGCAAAAATGTTGTGTGTGCCATACTAGTCCTGTCCTTTATGCCCTGATTAGAACGTTGCTGAATTGGTATGCGTTGTAGTCTACGATTGTGCAAATATTTGGATTTCTGAAACTACCGAGTGGCGTTGTAGTCTGTGATTCTTTGATTTTAGCCATTGATTAATTAGTGGTTCTGTCTTTTTGTTCTTTCAGTGGACAAAGAGCCTAAGACAGGTATGCAATTTTCAGTTTTGTTCCGAGGCGCTTGAAGAGCAGTACATAGTAGAGACACGAAGCTCGCAACAACCATGTCGAAAGAAGATGGGTAAACTCAATCGGTTTGGTTTTCCTAGGTTAACTATTAAGATCATTGTTATAGTCTGGCTGGTTTACTAGTTCCAAATAATTAATTGAAGGTTATATTTTCGGGATTGTACGTTATAGTCTGGCCGGATAACTAGTTCGAGGATGATTGTTACTTTCGTGTTTGCATTAATGTGGAATTAGTTAGCCTTCATCGAATGACTTGGTTTCTGAACAGGTCGTATGGTGCGGCACATTAGAACCTGACCAAATTGGTTCTTTTGTTTCATACAGCGCAGCGGAATATGACTCGTGCTGCGCCAGGACTTTCTTGAATCAATGCCGGTCTTACGCTTACCTCTCTCGTGTTTATTTGATAGTTAAATCCATTCGACACTCGTGCTTATCGATTTCTCCTTCGCCTTATGGTTTACTATCAAGGACTAGCGCTACATTTTGCTTCTCCGTTTCGCCTAAATCAGACGAAATGACCAAAATGGTTTACCAGGACTAAGCTATCAAAATTGAAATCGAACAAAACTTAACGATCGTAAGGGTATTTACGGAAATACACGGTTCTCGCCCTTGCATTTGATATCGATGGTGGATCATAGCGGATGTGTTTCTTATCGTATCGAATTCAAAAATGTGTGACCACGAATCTTTTGATGGTAATCTGTTTATTTTTTCTCAAATCACAGCCCAAATATCTCAATCCTTAAAACTTGTCCAAGCAGACCCAAAAGACAGTTGGGTTTGGCGGGTTGGAGCCCCGAACTTGCGCGCTCACCTTGGATAACCCGCCACGTCATCAGTTACTCTAACAGGAGCCGTTGGATTTTATACGAATTTGCAACAGAAAAGTCACCGTCGCTTTAGATAACCCAAATGACAAAACTCAAAATAGTCAAACTATTTCCACTTCCACTCCTCCGTCCACTCTCTCGCTCCACCAGGACCGCCACTCTCTCCCTCCTCCTCCGCCGTCGCCACATGGCCACCGTCGCGTTATCCGATTCCCCCATAAGCCCGTCAGACACCCGGGTCGGGTGGATTGGAACCGGAATTATGGGCCGGTCCATGTGCACCCACCTCCTCAAGGCCGGCTACGCCCTCACCGTCTTCAACCGCACCCTCTCCAAGGCCCAGCCTCTCGTCGACCTCGGGGCTCACCTGGCCGACTCCCCAAGCGCCGTCGCCTCCAAATCCGACGTCGTCTTTTCCATCGTCGGCTACCCCTCCGACGTCCGCTCCGTCCTCCTCGACCCCACCACCGGCGCACTCTCTGGACTGCGCCCTGGAGGCATCCTCGTCGACATGACCACCTCCGAACCCTCCCTCGCCGTCGAGATCTCCTCCGCCGCTGAGTCCAAATCCTGCTCAGCTGTCGATGCCCCGGTCACCGGTGGCGACGTTAGGCGCCAAGAACGGAACTCTCGCGATCCTCGCCGGCGGCGATGAAAACACCGTCCGCAAGCTAACCCCTCTGTTCTCCCTCATGGGCAAAGTGAATTATATGGGCGGTGCCGGAAGGGACAGTTCGCGAAGCTAGCGAACCAGACGATCATCGCTTCCACGATGGTGGGTCTGGTGGAGGGTATGATCTTCGCCCACAAGTCCGGCCTCGACGTGGGTCTTTTCCTAGATGCGATCAAAGTGGGCGCCGCAGGGTCGAAGGCGCTGGATTTGTACGGCGGCCGGATTCTGAAGAGGGATTTGGAGCCGGGATTCTATGTGAACCACTTCGTGAAAGATTTGGGGATTTGCTTGAAGGAGTGCCAGAAGATGGGACTTGCTCTTCCCGGATTAGCCCTGGCTCAGCAGCTTTATCTGTCGCTGAAGGCTCACGGCGAGGGCAATTTGGGAACTCAGGCGCTTATTGTGGCGGTGGAGCGGCTGAATAATGTGTCACTTGAATATGCTCCTGCAAAATAATGACTCTGCAAGTGCAGTTTGAATCATTTCTTATAATGCTATCGATGATTTTCTTCGATTTCGTGTTGAAATTTCAGTTTTTTTTACTTTGTACTGTGATGTTTCTTGCTCCAATGCTTATAGTATGAAATGGTTTTCTCATAACAAATTAAGCAATTGTGTTTCGTTTCTTCAATATATGGTTGAAACTTTTGCAGACGCGGGTTAGGCTAGTTAGCTAGGGTAGTTTGTCCATTGCTAGATGGATTGTGTTTAACTGTATGTAAGCACCTGCTGGTGGGAAAGCTCAATGAGTTTATCAGCAAGTGCTTTTGCACACTTTCAGCTTGATGTTTGACCCGAAAAACTAACAAATGGTGAAGCAAGTTTTAGCGGTTAATGTGAAACCAGTGTATTGGCTCTTGCCTGGCATTAGATTGATTCTTGATTACCAGTTATAAACTTATAGCGAATGCACCCTTTAGTGGCACCATTCTGTATTATCTGGACTTCAGGAATTTACAACTGGAGGCAAGATAACAGGTTCAGTTGTATGAGCTCGGTGCAAGCCTGACACGGGATCTCTGTTTGAAATATCAGTGAGGGCACGCACGGTGGTCACGCCCAAATTTAGGTATTTCTTGTGTTCATATGTTTCTTTTTTGTATAACTTGCTAAGGCATGTCTGCATTCTTTCTGTCTAAGATCGGAGAAAGCAAGTTACTTTTGTATGTTCGTAGAATACCTTCGATCTTCCAGTTTTTGTAGTGAGACATGAAATGATAACACATCCAAAGTTGCAAAATATGTAGCGGGACATAAAATACATAAGCTATATAGATAGAGTTACCCTCAAAGTTAAGATGAACACCACTGATACTGAAAGACCATAGCATTAGTAGTGGCCTCTGAGAAAATAAATTTCTGTCATTGAGTTTCTCGTCATTCTTTCTTTCAATACTCGTTGTATTTGGGTCGTGGTTGCGTGTTTTTTCCCTAAACAGAGTACACAAATTGAAAAGAGGGATTGGAATCAAGGGCTTAACGTCCAAAACTGTAACGTTAGCTATTGTTTTTGCGAACTTTATACCAAGTATAGCATTTCAGACTAGACAGTGAGTTGCAGTGTTGCACCAATGCGAAGTATGATAAAACATGTTCATAAAGTAGATTGGGTTATACTAGTCTCCAGACTATACACTTACGTATAAAGGAAACAATTTTATCTGGATTTTACTTGTTACACAAGCCTTCACCCGTAGCCATCTTACGAAAGAACAGACGAAGGAGACATTCCGTAACTTCATCCTTGTAGTGTATACTTCTTCCCTGTGAATGCTTGCAATTTTGGCTTTTCGGCCATCTGAGACTGCTCTTGGCTGCTCTTCTCTGGGGCAACTTTTGGGGTTTCATTCGTGGGATGGTTGGCATTTGAACCAATTTTACCAAACACAAGCTTTCCATTAGGTCGACCCGTTGACGCAGAAGTTGATGACATAGAGCCCTTGGTTCCATTCTCACTCTCCTGCTGGTTCTGTCCGAGAAATTCAGTAGAGGAAACCGGTGCAACCGATTGGTCCAATGCCGGTTTTCCATCCAATCATCTTGCTGAACCGGTAAAGGGGATGAATTTCGGTATCTTCTCAGACAGTTCTTCATCCTTTTTGGCTTCTGTCGGTCTCTCCTTAGACTGAGTAGATGGCACTGACGGCTTTTGGGGCTCCACGTAATCAAGTGGAGGGGCAAAATCAACCTCGCAGTCGGTATCAATTATGCAGATTGCAGGGGACGGCTTTGTTTCAATTACGTCGATGTAGTACTCCTTATTGTTATAAGGGACCACGAAGGTATCACCAGTGGCTAAACAAGAGTAGCGCCTCAGTGCAGTCTCCAAGACGTCTTTCGGGTCTGAGACGTCAAGAAATTCCATGGTGTGCGGCTGCAACTTGATGTATGTTCCCTTCACAAGGCTCTTGTTTTTCACCTGAACAAGATCGCCGTCTTGCAAAAGCAACTTCTTCATCATCCAGTGGGGTAAAAACGTTAGGCCCTCGTCGGCAACAAATTCCAACACCCCACAGTGAGCAACTCGTCCAGAATTACCGGGATTACTGAGTTCAAACAACATGGGGTAATTGACCTGTGAATTCGACAAAAGGCGATCGAGGGCTGACAAGGGCATTATGATTTTATCGCCCTTTTCGAGATGTTCCTTGTTGAGGACGGAAACAGGGTAACAGCGGTAAAGCTGCTCAAAGGAACTAGAATTACTGCTAGGTTCTTCAGGATTGCTGCCAGGCTCTTCGGGCTTACTACCAAGTTCTTCAACATATCCACCACAGAATCCGGAATCAGTGACATGATCTTCAGAAGAATTCCTACTAAGTTCTTCAATATATCCGCCATAGAAGTCGGAATCACTGACATGATCTTCAGAAGAATTACTACTATGGTCTTCAGAAAAACTACTGCTATAGTCTGCAAAGGATTCACCGACATCTTCAGAATCAGATGAATCTCTGCTGTAGTCTGCAGCATCAACAAAGTCGTCATCAGATGAATCGCTGAGGTAGCCTTCAGAAATCATTATTTACTGCGTCCATGAAGTCGCAGCTGGATCGTGTCCTTGTGATTTTGATGGATAGATTGACTGAGGTAATTCTGGTTTCTTGCGGCCTATGGAACTGAGACTCTAAACAGTTAGGGCAAAGAATAGTGCTTTGTCTGATGCGAATTGATGAGATGTCTGAAAACGAACGTGGCCTCCCTTGTACTTATAGACAATTCAAAACCAAATCCTATAAGGATAAGAAAACCCTAATCTCACTGGAAAACCCTAATATTTGAAGAAAAAAGAGAATGAAGTTTTAATCTTAGCCGTCCATAATCCTCTAATTGGTAGCTAATCTTCTAATTGTAGCCGTTCGTAATTCTTTTAGGGCTTTTCGCAATCTGATAATTAAGTAGCTAATCTTCAGGGCGTGATAGTAAACGATGCGAGGTCTGAAGATTAGCTACTCGTAGGCAAAGGAAAAATTGGCTCCACAGGCTAAAGGATGAGAACGGGGATTAGCATGACAACAAACCTGGTATGGAACGTGTGGTGGTGGATTATTTCACTAAGTTATTTGATTCAAATGGTGGGGAAAATTTAAATATGGTGTTGGACCACATTACACCCAGAGTTACCGATGCGATGAATGCTGATCTTCTTCGTATTGTTTCAAATGCATCCGACCAAGTCCCCAGGTCCGGATGGCATGTCTCCTGGATTCTACCAGAAACATTGGGATATGGTAGGCGCTGATGTTTATGATGGCGTTCGTTCGATGCTGCAGTCAGGTTGCATGCTCCGCAAAATTAACTATACGCATGTTACCTTGATTCCGAAAGTAAAGAATCCAACGGAGATGTCTCAAATGCGTCCCATCAGTCTGTGCAATGTACTTTACAAGATTGTTGCAAAGGTTCTCACAAATAGGTTTAAGAGTATCATGCCGACGATTATTAGTCCTACTTAGAGTGCTTTCATACCGGGAAGATTAATTTCTGATAATACTTTAGTGGCGGCAAAAATAGCACATCACATGCATAAACGTAGCTCGGGCTGGAACAGAGTTATGGCTTTAAAGCTAGATATTAGTAAGGCATATGATCGGTTGGAATGAAACTTTTTGGAGTCTATAATGAAGTGCATGGGTTTCTCTGAGGAGTGGATTCGATTGGTGATGATTTGTGCGTCCACGGTCACTATTCTTTTAAAGTAAATGGTGAACCAGTGGGTTTTGTTTCTCCTAAACGTGGTATTCGACAAGGAGATCCGCTTTCTCCTTACTTATTTGTGTTGTGCGCCGAAGGTCTCCCGGCGGTCTTTCGAAATGCGGAGGAAAGAGGACTTATTAAAGGTGTTGCGATTTGTGAAAATGCTCCAAGTATAAGCCATCTCTTGTTCGCAGATGACAGCTTTCTATTTGCTAGGGACACATTGGATGAATGTCAAAATATAAAATCAGCAACTATTGGCAGATTGCTTGGGTGTTCGAAGGGTGCAAACCCATGATAGGTATCTTGGGTTACCTGTTTTTGTGGGTAAATCTAAAAAGGAGACTTTCGCCTATGTTAAAGAGAGATTATAGAAAAAATTGCATGGGTGGTGTGGAGGCCTTTTGAGTACTGCAGGGAAAGAATTGCTAGTCAAGACCGTGGCTCAAGCATTACCAATGTATACTATGCAGTGTTTCCTTCTTCCAAAATCTTTCTATGAGTAATTGAATACGATGACAGCCAAGTTTTGGTGGAGCGGAGAACCTGGGAAGTGCAAAATTCATTGGGTGAACTGGCGAACCTTATGTACATCAAAAGAGGAAGGGGGTTTGGGTTTCAGAGATCTCTATGCTTTTAACATTGCTCTTCTTGCGAAACAAGCGTGGAGATTTATCATGCAGCCTTATTCGTTAGCTTTCACTCTTTCAAAAATTTGGGGCGACAATTGGTTGCCAAGGGAGAATTATTTCAAAGTTTTCACTCCACCTCCATTGCCGCAACTACTTGAAGCCACGGTGGAGAGTTTGTTTTTGGATGGGACACGAACTTGGAACAAAAACATGCTTCATCGATTGTTTAGCTTAGAAGAAGTGGAAGTTATTCAGAGCATTCCTCTCAGTATTCGACGTATGTCTGATAGACAAGTTTGGCATTACGAACGGAATGGTATTTTCTCGGTGAAGAGTGCTTATTACTTGGCAAAGTGAGAGGTGGATGCTGGAACATCGGGTTCGAATGCCTAAGATTCGTTGATCTGGAAGAGATTATGGAATGCTTGTGTTCCTGGTAAGGTAAAAATATGTGTTTGGCAGGGGTGCTTGGATTCTCTACCTACTAGAACAAAACTTGCTAGAAAACGTATTGTCAAGGAAACAGAGTGTTTATTTTGCTCTAGGCAGCCAGAAACTGTCGAGCATGTGTTGAGAGATTGTTCGATGGCTCGGGCAATACGATTCGCAAGTTTGGGCATTAGAGGCCGAGATAATTCATTAGTATGTTTCAGAGATTGGGTAACTAAGCTTGCTCATGATTCCTCCAAGCTGACTTTTGACTTGGTGTTGACAACTATATGGAGCATTTGGAGAGCTCTTTCTCCAAAATTTTGTATTAAAAAATGTATAATTCACACATGTTTGAGATTAATAATGTGACTTTTGATCAGAAAAAAAGAAGAAAGATTGTCAATTTGACAGTGCCAAAACCCTACAATCGCACTGCGTGCCCTTTCTTCTTGTTAACTCTTCGACAAGCTCACCGTTGCCAGCAAGGAGGTCCGCCACTACCACTCTATCTTTCGAGATCTGCACTTGAGGCATATCATCGTATATGGTCATGCATCGCAATTTGAAACCCCGTAATATTATTTACCAAAAAAAGGAGTACCATTAGATCGTCAATATAAATAAAGTTACATATATTGTACTAAATAAGACGAACTGTAAGCTTAGCTAATAGTCTGTAAAATTGTGGCATAATCCACATTGCTTGTGGCACCCGATCGTCCCAAGATTTTTTAGAGAAGGTTGTGTAGTGGTTCCATCCTCTAAATTGAAGATACCGATATCACCACGTGTTGTTTTGACAATTTACAAGATGACAAGTGAGACATGTTACCGAATCGTGTGTGTAGTATATGAAACAGTGTCATATATATATATATATAATTGTTCGAGAACAATGATGATCAGAATTGAATGAATTGTTAATTATTGGCAATTTGATGTGGAGGATAATTAAGATTAAATATTTCATAAAACCAACTGTTATAAACAAATAAAAAGAATTGAACAAATGATTGGTCTGTGTTTACCTTAAATTTGAGATATTCAATGAATTGACTGTACGTAAAGATTTTATGCCATTCAAAATTAGTTGTTATGGAAATAATGAATTCAAAGTAATCATGCAAATATACTTTGAAAATAAGTTTTAGGCTTTTTAGCCAAAATGGTCTTTGAAATTTGAATAACACATCACTTTAGTCTCTGAGATTGAAAATCAAAAGAAATGGTCCCTGATATTGTCCACCATCCATTATTTTGGTCATTCTGTTAAAAACTCTGTTAAGTGTTCGGAGCTCTTGGCCGGAAATTTGGGCAATTTTCAAAACTTTGTAACTCAATCGTTTATTAACCAAATTGGACACATAATATATCATAATGAAGATAGGAAAGTGTAGAATGAGATTATACCTACTTAGAAGCCCAATGGTTACCAATAATGGCCTGAAAATAACCTGAAAAGTACAGGTCCGCAGGAAAACTAGAAAACTTGCAGGAAACTGGGTAAATTTTAAACGTTCATAACTTTTTTAATACTCAACGAAATCGAGTGATTCAAAAATGAAAATCATACTTCTCGAAGTGAAGAAGAGAATGGTACTTTCTCGATGGCTAATTAGTTGTGGTTTTTTAAAAAAATGGCTCGAAAGTGGCTAACTTGAGACCAAGATAGCCACTTTCGAGCAATTTTTCGATCAAATCACAGTGAACTAGACATTGATAAAGGTACCAATCTCTTTTTCTTGTCGAGAAGTATGATTTTTGTTTTTGAATCACTCAATTTCGTTGAGTATTGAAGAAGTTATGAACGTTTAAAGTTTACCCAATTTTCGGCAAGTTTTCCAATTTTGCCGCGAACCAGTCACCTTTCAGGCTATTTTCCGGTAATCTCTAGCAATGATTGGGCTTCCAAATAGGTATAATCTTGTTCTACACTTTCCTATCTTCATTTTGATGTATTATGAGTCCAATTTGGTTAAGAAACGATTGAGTTACGAAGTTTTGAAAATTGCCCAAACTTCTAGCCAAGAGCTCCGGGACACTTAACGGAGTTTTAATCAAATGACCAAAATAATGGATGGTGGACAAACTCAGGGACCATTTCTATTGATTTTCAATCTCAGGGACCAACGTAATGTGTTATGCAAATCTCAAGGACCATTTTGTCTAAAAAGCCTAAGTTTTATTGCAAAACTTACACTAGAACTTACAATTGATTTACTGACGATTAAGTCAGTAAATAAGAAAATGACTGATGAAAAGGATATTGGTGCACGCAGGCATCCTTGACATTTGAAAATTAAAAGTGTTTACAATTTTTGATTTCTTTAAATACAGTGTGAACTCAAAGAAAATTTTTACTGAGAAATTGTGGAAATGCCAAACTTGAAGTCTTCTCCAATTGAGTCCTCTGCATATAGACTTGGAAAATAGACTTGGATGATTGATTTCTTTATTGTGGAAGAACGGGATGAATGGTGACTACTTGGATGATTGATTGCTTTACTATGGAAGCATCGGATGACCATTTAACGGGATGAATGGTGACTACTTGGATGATTAATTGCTTTATTGTGGAAGAACGGGATGAATGGTGACTACTTGGATGATTGATTGCTTTAATATGGAAGCACCGGATGAATGATGACTTGCTTTTACTGTTGATGAATAATGGTCTTTGTTGGAATAATTGCTACTTTTACTGTGGAATGTGCAGGTAACTGAGTGATTCCTTACTTTGTAGGAATTATTGATGGAACTTTATCTGAAAACTTCACATTGTTACTTTGGCTTCACATGGTGACTTTGAAAAGATGGCAATTATCATGATGACTTAACTTGATGACTTTAATTTTCACATGGTGATTAACTGTGTTCACATGGCTTTATGCAAAAGGGTCTTGGGAGTCCTGGTAGTCAACCCATTTAGCTGATTGTGGTTTTTGGCTTGCTGCGTTAGCTAGTTGCTGTGAGGATGCATCTAAAGATTCGGAGTCTGATGATTCTCCTTCTTCAGTATAGAGCATTGCTACTTTTGCAAGTAATTGTTAGGCTAGGTCTTTGAGTTGGGTGGCCTTTTCTTTTCTTTTTTAGCTAGTTAACTTGGATGACTTGGCTGTTCCTTTGAGTGATGATGATGGATTAATGTCCGATAATGACTGTTCGGGGATGGCTGGCAGGGATGGTTGTGCTGGCTGTTCCAGAATTGATGGAGTAATGGGAAATTCTGTGAAGACTTGACTG